GTATCGAGGAAACTATCCTCATTTAGGAGGTCTTTTCTTATTATTTTCATTGTTCTTTTCTTTGATGACAGCTTTTAATTTTGGGAGATTAGATGTTATTTCTCTTAATGTCAGAGGACTAAGGGATATAGTTAAAAGAAAGGCACTTTTTCTCTTTATTAAACAGAGGGAAGCTCAAGTTATTTTGTTTCAAGAAACTCATTCTTGTGATACTGACTTAAAGTTTTGGAAGTCTCAGTGGGGTGATACTGCTTTGTTTTGTCATGGAACAAACCATTCTGCAGGGGTCGCTATTTTCCTAAACAAATTGAAAGGAGATATAGTGGAGACAATTTATTCTGGTGAAGGGAGATGGATTATAGTCATTTTAAACATTGACAATGTGAAATTTATAATTTGTAATGTATACGGATATAATATCATCTCTTTAAATTCATGTATGTTTAAAAAACTTAGTTTGATACTTTTAAATTTAAAAAGTAAATATATCTAGATGCTTATTTGCTGATTGGAGGAGACTTTAATGAAACCCCTAACGACTCTATGGATAGACTCCCTCCAAGGAACAGTACTTCTAAGGTGTTTCAGTTGCTTTGTGATGATTTACAGGTTACTGACGTTTGGCGTTTTTTACATCCCCATGATAAGGATTATACTTGGTCAAATAATGCTCTTACTCATAAATCACGAATTGATTTTTGGTTATTATCTTCTAATGCAATTCATTTTATCTTGGATACTTTAATTGTTTATGCACCATTATCAGATCACAAATTAATCTCTATTTCTTTAGTTGGAAATACAAACAGTTGTAAAAGAATTCGTGGTTATTGGAAATTTAACAATAAATTACTTTCAGATGCAAAATTTATAGATTGTGTTAAAAACATTTCTTATATATTGGAAGATGAATCTATGAGTCATGTTCAAAGATGGGAATTTTATAAATTTAAAGTTAGACAACTGGCAATGCGGCGTGGTAAAGAAATTAAATTGGCTAATTCCCAAAGATGTCAAGTTCTTTTAGATGAACTTGAAAAGTTATTATCAAAAGAAATTCTTAGCATAGAGGAAGAAATACATCTATCTAAATTGCGAAACGAAATAGATGACTTTTACTTAGATTTAGCTAAAGGTGCATTTATAAGATCTAGGGCTAAATGGTTGGAAATGGGAGAGAAAAACACCAGTTATTTCTTTGCTTTGGAAAAAAGAAATATAAAAAGAAATTCTGTAACCGCTTTAAAAATCGATGATAACATTAATAAAAATCCTGCTGAAATTAATAAATATGTGCATTCCTTTTTTAATAAATTATATAGTTCAAATTATAATGTAAATTATGCTAATGTCTTTCTGCAAAAAGTCAAACCGTACATTCCAGTAATCTCAAATGAATTTAAAATGATTTGTGAAAATGACCTCACTTTATCTGAACTTACCAAGGCAATGCACTCTATGAAGAAGGGTAAATCTCCTGGCTCAGATGGCCTAACTATTGAGTTTTACACATACTTTTGGGAAATTATAAAGAAACCTCTAATTAGAATGTATAACGAATGTATTGCTAATGAAGAATTAAGTACTTCCATGAAACAAGGGCTCATAACCTTGATACCAAAACCTGACAAAGATCTTCTCTCACTTGATAATTGGAGACCAATCACATTACTAAATTTAGACTACAAAATTATATCTTTAGCTTTTGCCAAAAGATTAAAAACAGGTTTATCTGAGATAATTAATGAATCGCAAACAGGCTTTATGCCTAATCGACATATAAGCTGTAATATTAGGTTAATTTTAGATCTCATAGATTATGCACAGCATATTAACTCGGATGCAATTGTAACGTACGGACAGAGACGGTCGGATCCATGTGCAGCACTTTATTAAAGCAAGCAGACATGAACACAGGCAAACACTTAAACAAAGGGGCAATCCAGAAACTCGTGGTCTAAACAGGCAATGGTCGAGGCAGGCAGCACAGGTTCGTGAACAGTCCAGGAAACAGGCAAGGGTCAAGAGTCCAGGGAAACACGGAGACACAGAACAGGGAATAACGCTCGGAATTGTACGCTTACAGGGTAACAGGACTTCGCAAGGGACACAGGGAAAACTCAGGCTTAAATAAGGAACTCAATAACCAATAATGAAACACAGCTGAACATAATGAAACACAAAGAGTCCATGGGGAAACAAACATGGGGAGAGGGTGCCCTCTAGAGGCTCTCGAGGGCACCACGGCTGCTGATCGTCACAGCAATAATATTGTTTCTAGATTTTTACAAAGCGTTCGACACCATTGAACACAATTTTTTATTTTTGACACTAGAGTTATTTGGTTTTGGAGAGAAATTTACCAAAGTAGTTAATATGTTATATAAGAATATTAATAGCTCAGTTCTTTTACAATTTGATACCTCTAATAGATTTCCTATTAATAGGGGAGTGAGGCAAGGTTGTGGAATCTCCCCCTTTCTGTTTTTGTTAGTTGTGGAATTGCTCTCTCTGAGTATTCGTAACCATCCTGATATTAAAGGGGTGTCCATCTTTGACCGAGAGATAAAAATTTCACAACTTGCGGATGACACAACCCTGTTTTTAGAGAATACTAATCAGGTTGGCAAGGCTCTTGAAACAATTATTTCCTTTTCGATGGCTTCTGGTCTAAATTTAAATATTCCTAAGTGCGAAATTCTTTGTTTATATGAAACTATGGAAACCTCTGTGGAAAATATACCCATCAAAGATAATGTGAAATATCTTGGAATTCATATCTCCAAAAGAATATCTCTTAGACAAGATATGAATTTTCTACCTAAAATCAAAAAAGCTAAACAAATATTTAATAATTGGCTTCAAAGAGATTTGTCTTTCCTTGGTAGAGTTCTTTTAATAAAAGCTGAAGGTCTAGCTCGACTTATATACCCATCATTTTCGTTATTTGTCCATGATAATACCTGTAAACAAATCAATAGCTTATTGTTTACGTTTTTTTTGGAAAAACAAACATCAGCATCTGAAGAAACATGTTTTATGTGGTAAAAAAGAGTCTGGAGGTTTCGACATGTTGGATTTTTTTGATGTTAATAATACTTTCAAAGTGAAATGGGTAAAGAATTGTGTCAATTCACCAGAATCTATTTGGTATTTTATCCCACATAATATATATAATAAAATTGGAGGGCTTAAGTTTCTGTTAACTTGTAATTTCTCCCCTTCTAAGATACCTATTAAACTCTCTAAATTCCATGAACAGGCACTATTGGCATGGAAACTTTGCTTTGTCCACAACTTCTCCCCTCATAAAGTAAAGCTATGGAACAATGAAAATATTCTTGCAAAGAACAAGTCATTGTTTCTTAAGAATTGGCATGAAAAAGGTATTGATTATCTTTGTGATATGCTAGACTCAAAAGGGAATGTTTACTCTTATTATGATTTCATGTCTAAACATAATTTCCCAGTTATTCATAAGGAATTTCTTACCATGGTAAAAGCTATACCAAATGGTCTTGTTCATTTAATGAAGTGCCATTTATCGTATGAAGTGATTGTAAAGAGTGAAAATAAATGTCTGATTGAAGGCAAAAATATTTACGATCCAAAATGTAGCAATAAAATTATTAGAAATGTGTTTCAGTCTAGAAAACATATTACCCCGAGAGGAAAATTCTTTTGGAATTCCTTAATAGAAAATATTAATTGGGAAAAAAGCATGGATCTTACCTTATAAACATTGTATCCCCAATAAGGTGAAAGAACTACACTTAAAAATTTTGCACAATACCCCACCAATGAGATAACACATAAATTTGGTAATGTTCATTTGAATTGTAACTTCTGTAAAAATTGTACCGAGTCAATTGATCATCTTTTCTTTGGGTGTTCCCTTGTCAAAGAATTTTGGATTGATTTGTCAAAACTCCTATCTTCAAAAGTAAAATTGGAATTCGAACTAAAATTGAGAGATGTAATTTGTTATTTCTCGAACTGTAATCATAGAACAGAATACATAGGAAATTTTTTTTTTTATTCTATTGGCAAAGTATTTTATTCATAAATGCAAATTTTCTTTAAGAGTACCCAAATTAAATGTTTTTCTTTGTGAATTTAATTATTTTTTTAACACACTAAAAAGAATTAATAACAAAAAAGGTGCCAAATTTGTGAAAATGTATGATAATATGTTGAGCGATATGTAATTGAAGTTACTTCCTCTGTTTTTTTTTTTCCTTTACTGTACTTATATTTCAATGTGATGTAATTATCTCCTCTGTTTCATGCTGTCATCTGTTGTTATTTGAAGTTTATCAATAATAAAAAAATAAAAATAAAAAAAAACTTCCCAGGATCCTCTTGTTTCCACACCTCTCAGTCCCTCAATCATCCACCTGTTCATCGTCTTTATCATCTGTGTCACCTGTCTTCACCTCGTTAGTGTTCATAATGTTCATAGTGTTCGGAGCATAAAGTCAAATATTTCAAAGCAGGCATTCAGTCAAATATAATTAGCTTATGCATGTTACGGAGCCAATAACACAGGCCATTTGATGATAAAATTGTGATAAAATTTTGTATTTTATTTTGATACATTTGATGATCATGTATTTGTAATTTGTAGCAAAATATTTTTTGATGTATTTGTGGTTATTTCTGACTCTGAGGAGGGGTATATCAATCTGGAGGGAAATTGGTCAGCGCAGGGAATGCTGAGTTTTCTTTTTACAGTCTGGTTTGATCGACAAAACAGCTGTTAGAGGGCTTTTATTTTGATATTATACATTAGACAGTCACAGTACTGACATTGTGCGAGTGACAATATTATCTGAGTCGGATCCGAACCTTCATGTTATCAGACGTTATTTTTTAGCATTTGTATTATTTCATATTTATTTACTTTTTATGTCATTGTTTGTGTATTTCTATTCCTTATTGACATTCTGACTCAACGCGCCAAATTGCGTATTCTTTATAGGCTAACGGTTTTACAAGGCAAAACATTTATCATGATCACGGGAGACACGAGCAACGGACGTTAAAGTAAGATCAATCGGAATCAGAGCTCGTCTCGATGTAATAGAAAGGCTCAACAAGACGTCGTCAGTGAGAGAAAGTCAGTAAACTGAATTATTGTTGGACTCAACCTTCATCGTGTAACGTGCTTTGGGTTAGTTAGTTAGGGCCGTGCAGAAACTTGTGGTTGATGCTCTACAGTTTAGTGACACAAAATATATAGGCTATGTATTATTACTACAAGTAGCCTTATCTACATTCCTCTCATGGACTTATTGTGCTGACAGGTCATTCTCTCTTAAAGTTTTTAAATCAAAACAACCTTGAATTTCTGCGGCTCTGACGCACTGCTGCTGCCGGACGTCATCGGAATGCATTCTATTCGACACGTCACAGTACTAGACGCTGCAAACCTCTGTACTTTACTGAAACTCGTGACTTGTTGTCTACAGTCTACAGCTGTTGATTAGAGTGCAGTTTTATAGTCTACAGCTATTGATTAGTGTGCAATTTTATATCTGTTTGGGTCTGTTTTTTAATTACAGTTGAATTGCACAATACAGCTGTGTACGGTTTCAGATCATACAATTTGACCTGTCGGATTTTGGATCAACGTACTATTTTACATCATGAATAGTAAAACATTTCGCAGTCTCAGGCCCCTGGAACGTAATAGTCCTGGACAACTTAAGAGTGGTTTAGACATGCCTACACTACAACCTCAACCACCGTCTAAACTGCGACCTCAACCACCATCTAAACTGCGACCTCAACCACCGTCTACATTGCGACCTCAACCACCTCCTAGGCTGAGACAACGACCAGCGCCTCAACAACGCCCAGAAGAAATTGAGATAAAGAGGGTAAGTAAGAAGGCTATCATAGGATTCACTGTGTTTTTTCAACCATCATTGGTCATTATTAACACTAAGCTTGCGTTCATATGTTGAGCATTGTATTAAAGTGTTTTCTTATTCTTATGTATCATCAACAGGAGATCACTCGGAGTTTCCATAACAGAATTGTGCTGAGAGAAAGGTCCCGGATGTCCAGCCAAGGGCAATGTGTCAAGCTTCCTCCTATCCCCGGCTCTTCCCGAGATGACAGCTCAAACCTCAGCCAGAGATTTGAAAGAGTCCTAAAAGACCAAGACAACCTCATTAAGGTGACTACATATAACATATATATATATATATATATACTTGACTCTCAGTTTTACTTCTACAACTTTCATTACAGAGCCTTGGAGTAACAAATGTGTGTGTGTGTTTTACAGAGTTTTGTGAATGAGCTGTCGGAGATGGAGCGCACTTCTCATCAGCAGACCAGGGACAATCTGTTAAAGTTTCATTTGAGTCAGGTGAAAGAACAAGCGCTCGACTTCAAAACCAGACTCGAAGAACTTCGCTCAGAGTATTATACTGAGAGGTAACACACACAAACAATCACACAAAAGTACACACACAAACAATCACACAAAAGTAGTGTTTTGTTTTCAAGGGCTGGCCAGTTTACCAGTTCCTGACAATTTAAATCAGGTCATTCTTTTTAGGATATACCTTTTAACTTTAGAAAATGCTGAATAGACAATGATGTTTACACTGTTTTCCCACCAAAAGTGATGTCATGAACAGGATTACACACAAAAAACAGTATTATATTGTATAAAAAATATCTAAATAGGGACATGAAAATGCGTTGCGAAGGATTGAGCCAATGTAGTAACATCTGTGTTATTTCTTTTCATTTCCAGGAAGCTGATTGTTTCACAGTGCGAGCAGCAGAGTGCGTATTTGAAGGATGTAATGTTTTCCATTAGAAAGCACTACGCTAAGATTGGCGCTGAGGCGAGACGTGACTACGAGGACATTTGCAAACAAATAAAAAAAAAGGTACTGGTTTTATTATGTTTATATTTACTCATTTGGCAGATGCTGTTATCCAAAATGACTTAGTAATGAGGAACATCACCAGCAATTTGTCATATATATAGTGCCATATTTATGGGTTTAGTAAAAACTAGAATTAGTCAACAAGCTAGGGCAAAGGAAAAATACAAAAAAAGAAGAAAAAGAGAATAGAGTTCAAGTAAATGTCTTGGTTTACAAAATCATATTTATTGGATTAACCTAAAATATGCAGTGCAATTCAAATATAAATAAATCATGGATTACAAAAATACTGATTACACAAATATACAAATGTATGTAGGAGTTTACACTTGTACACTAGTAGTACTTATCAAAAGTTTGGAAGAATAAAGATTTATTTCTCTTTAAAGTCTTTAATGATCACCAATGGAGTAGAGCTAAGGGAGCACAATGACCAAGTCGGCCAGACAGAGTTTAGAGTTTTGAAAATGTTACTACAGATTGGACAAAAGGATGTTAGCAGTTGGGGAAATAAAACATAATCATAAATCAAAAACATAATCTTAATAATATGTTGTCTGTTTATTTCTGCAGCACAAAGGGGAATATAAAACTGTGGAAACACCGAAGAAAGAGGTCACTGAAGAACTGAGGGAATTCTGGAAGTGTGATGATGTTTCATGCGAAAAAAAGAAAGAAGAATCTGACTCTGCTTCTCGAGTTTAAAGAGGTGGAGACAGATAAACAGTGCATTCAGGAATTGGAGGTCAGGCAAAAATTCATTTGTTTCTGTCTAATTTGGACAATCATTTTTCTTCGTAATGGATGGCTTGAGGCAAGCAGGGAAGGAGCCAAAAGCAAGGTTTAATATAACTTAATCAAAACTCAACGCACAAAACAACAACAACACAGAAAAAAAACAGTCGGTCTGCCCCCGAGCCAATGTGTGTGTCTGCCACCGAGCCGGTGTGTGTGTCTGCCCCCGAGCCAATGTGTGTGTCTGCCCCCGAGCCAGTGTGTGTGTCTGCCCCCGAGCCAATGTGTGTGTCTGCCCCCGAGCCAATGTGTGTGTCTGCCCCCGAGCCAGTGTTTGTGTCTGCCCCCGAACCAGTGTGTTCGGGGGCAGACACACACACTGGTTCGAGCGCAGACGCACACACTGGCTCGGGGGCCGACACACACATTGGCTCGGGGGCCGACACACACACTGGTTCGGGGAGACACACACAATGGTTCGGGGGCAGACACACACACTAGTTCGGGGGCAGACACACACACTGGTTCGGGGGCAGACACACACACTGGTTCGGGGGCAGACACACACACTAGCTCGGGGGCAGACACACACACTAGCTCGGGGGCAGACACACACACTAGCTCGGGGGCAGACACACACTAGTTCGGGGGCAGACACACACTAGTTCGGGGGCAGACACACACACTAGTTCGGGGGCAGACACACACACTAGTTCGGGGGCAGACACACACTAGTTCGGGGGCAGACACACACTAGTTCGGGGGCAGACACACACACTAGCTCGGGGGCAGACACACACACTAGCTCGGGGGCAGACACACACTAGCTCGGGGGCAGACACACACACTAGCTCGGGGGCAGACACACACACTAGCTCGGGGGCAGACACACACACTAGCTCGGGGGCAGACACACACACTAGCTCGGGGGCAGACACACACACTAGCTCGGGGGTAGACACACACACTGGCTCGGGGGCAGACACACACACTGGCTCGGGGGCAGACTACTGTAACAGGGTTTTTTTCTGCAAAGTAAGTGCCATTTTCGTGGCCGCAACATAATTAATAGAAAGAACAGCAAAGAAATTTATATTTTTGAATAAAAATCTATAAGAAAGTGAGACATTGTCTCACCGCTCATTAAGAAACCGCAATTAGATCCAAATAACTTGGCAAATTACAGACCCATTTGAAATCTTCCATTTATGTCCAAAATACTTGAAAAAGTAGTGTCCGCTCAATTGTGCTCTTTTTTGCAAGAAAATGATATCTATGAAAAATTCCAGTCAGGATTCAGACCGCATCATAGTACAGAAACTGCGCTAGTTAAAATTACAAATGATGTACTTTTAGCTTCTGACCAGGGCTGTATCTCAATACTAGTCCTACTTGATCTTAGCGCTGCGTTCGACACTATAGATCATATAATACTCTTGGATCGACTACAAAACTTCACCGGTGTCCAGGGACAGGCATTAAGCTGGTTTAGATCGTACTTATCGGACCGTTCTCATTTTGTCTGTTTAAATGGGAAAAAATCAAAGATAACGTCAGTAGACTATGGAGTACCGCAAGGATCGGTTTTAGGCCCTCTGCTATTCTCAATATATATGCTGCCACTTGGTAATATTATAAGAAAACATGGAATTAATTTCCACTGTTACGCTGACGACACTCAATTATATATTTCATCACGGCCAGATGAAAACACTAACTCATCTAAAATGACAGAGTGTCTCAAAGATATAAAATGCTGGATGACGCGTAATTTCCTGCTATTAAATTCAGATAAAACGGAGGTATTACTTATTGGTCCAAAAAACTACTCACAAAACCTCTCACAATACAACTTTAATATAGACGGATGTCCTGTTACTTTATCCACTACAGTAAAAGACCTGGGTGTTATACTAGACCGCAACTTGTCTTTCGAAGATCATATTTCATATGTTACAAGAACAGCCTTTTTCCACCTTAGAAACATTGCTAAGCTACGTAACATGCTATCTGTTTCTGATGCTGAAAAATTAGTTCACGCATTCATGACCTCGAGACTAGATTACTGTAATGCTTTATTAGCCGGTTGTCCTGCATCCTCAATAAACAAGCTACAGTTAGTACAAAATGCAGCTGCTAGAGTTCTTACTAGGTCAAGAAAATATGATCATATAACACCGATTTTATCATCTCTACACTGGTTACCTATTAAGTTCCGCATCAACTACAAAATACTACTACTGACCTATAAAGCCCTAAATGGTTTAGCACCTATGTACTTAACGGACCTTCTCTCGCCCTACAATCCACCGCGTTCCTTAAGATCACTAAATTCAAGGCTTCTGGTCATTCCTAGGATATCGAAGTCCAGTAAAGGAGGGAGGGCGTTCTCGCATTTAGCTCCAAAACTCTGGAATGGCCTTCCCGATACGGTCCGAGCCTCTGACTCGCTGACACAGTTTAAAACTAGATTAAAGACGCTTCTCTTTAGTCAAGCATTCACATAATGCTTACCTTCTAGTCCTCTGTTATGCCATACGGAACCGTTTGCCACTGAAACTGCTTAACGCACCAGTGGGGCTCGACAGCCTTTTAGACAAACGGGTCGGCGCGTAGGGTTGGGTTGCGGAGAGTTCAGGTTACGGAGAGTTTGTGAGTTATAACGGAAATCATTATGAACATCAGCTATGCTAATTATTTCCCATCTGCCTTTCTGCTGTTATCTCGGGACGCTTGTCCCGAGAAAAATGGCGTTCGTCAGGTCCAGTTTTGTGTCCAGCCTCTCACGGGGATTTCGGATGCCCCAACGCCTGTGATGAGACGACTCAACGCCTGTGAAGAGACGACTCAACGCCTGCGATATGTTATGGCGCCGTTTGATTCATAAACAATATTTATATTTAATATTTATATTTAAACAATATGAATGTAAGCCAGAGGAGAACTGGCCCCCGACTGAGCCTGGGTTCTCCCAAGGTTTTTTCTCCATCCAATCTGATGGAGTTTTGGTTCCTTGCCACTGTCGCCTTGCTTTTGGCTTGCTTTGAGCTTGCTCAGTTGGGGTTATTTAGTGTTTAGCAATGTTGTTGATCTGTGTTGTGCTACTTTCATGTTATCACTGTGAAGCTGCTTTGATACAATCTGTATTGTGAAAAGCGCTATATAAATAAATGTGACTTGACTTGACTTGGTGGCTTGATTTATTTTATTAATATTAATTTTTCATTATGCAATGTGAAGAGACTACAGGTTACAAGCTTCATATATTAGAAAAATACAATAATAAAAAAACAACACATTTTTTAATGGCTCGTTGTAAAGGTTGTTTCAGATCAACACCTGCAAGTGACCACTTGGTGTCTCCATGGAGACGGGTGTCGGATTGATTCGAAGCGTCGAAACAAAATGGCACATTTGCTTCAACTGTTTCATTGCTTCATTAAAGGGTCATGAAACCCCCCTCTTTCAGCTCAAATCTAGCTCAAAATCTTTTTGAAAAATGCAACTTAAAAGGGCGTGGCTAGCTGTGAGAAGAAGGGAGGGAGTGTTTGTGGTATGGCCATCACGTCAATGTCCCATGCAGTGGTGGAAAGAGTACTGAAAAAACATACTCTAGTAAAAGTACCATTACATTCCAAAAAATGTAGTGTGAGTGGAGTAAAAAGTACTTGTCCAAAATAGTACTTGAGTAAGAGTAAAAAAGTAGCTTATTTAAAAGTACTCAAGAGTAGTGAGTACTGAGGTGCAGATTCTACCCCTTATAATAAACACTGTGCACAACAATTTATAAATTAAAAAAAAAATGCACATACTGTAATTCACATTATATTTTGTTCTTTGTAAGAAAAATTGAAGAATATCTATCATCCATCTTTTTAAAATGCATCAAATCAGTACACTCATCACCATTTAAATCATATTATTTGGGGGAAAAGCATTTAAAATTAGGCGACAAGCCACTGGGCCTGAGCATGCTATTGTTACACATAACATATCAATATTCATAACTGTGGAAAGAATTCAAAAACCTTTAGAAACTCATATGATAGTTCAGCATCACACACCAAGAGATGGGTTAAATAGAGAGATGAAAAAATACCCAATTTCTCTCCAAAACGGTACCAATGTTAGTGTTTTGCTAAATGAGAATCACTAATATTATCATATTACCTCAACTAATGCACTGAAAAAAGGCTAAGATAGTGAGCTAACACTAATTACACACTTTAATATTAAATATGTTACAATTTAAACGTAAATGCATTGTTCTAGGGTGGCATCATCTCTCACATTTTACACGGCTACATTACTCACATTGTAATGCTGATAATATAATTTGTAAGCAAAATTGTGCATTAAATAGGGAAGTTATATCCTGGAAACTTTTACAAAAGAAACAAACAAACACACTTTGTCTCGGCGAAGCTGTTTTATCAGCAGCATCCACAAAAAAAATAAAATGTTTTCGCGGAAGAAGTGCACTTGCCAAATGAAGACGGATCGTATAATGGATCAATCATAAAACGTTGTTTATTAACGAGCTGTGCTAATTTCTTATTAAGAAATGCAGTTCAAGTTAACGACATGGTGCACTGATTCTGAATCTGGCGGCATGGCGAGCGCGAGACGCGGCAGTCTTCACTGCTCAGATCGTGACGCGCGTCTCTCTATGGGCTCTATGCACTGCGGTATTTCCGGTGAAGCATTAGGGATGCTCGATAACTTCCGCCGATCATAGAGTCCAATGCAATACCGAGAATTTATATTGAATTTTATACTCCATGGCTATACTAAAGAAACGTTAGTCACAAAAACAGATAAAACAGACACCCCTTGTTGTGTTTATGCTTCTTTTTAAAATTATATTAAATAAATATAACTATATATAAAATTACATCTAAACGTATGTACGTTTCATTTCAAAGACTGGAGGACAGTAAATTTTGAAGACTCTACCATAATCCCGTTTTCCTCGGTTTTCCTCCGCTTTAATCTCCACAACCGGAAATGGACGAGCATCCTTGCGTCAAATGCGGAATTTATGCGTGCATATAGCCCATAATGTGATTGTGAAGCAAATGGGAGCGGGAATTCACCGCATTATGAAATCGTCG